TGGATTTGTTTCTTACAAACATGCAGCTTTTCACTTCACAAGACGTTAATTAATGGACTGGAGTGGTGTGGATTACTTGTGGATTATTGTGATGTTTTTATCAGCTGTTTGGACTCTCATTCTGATGGCACCCATTCACTGCAGAGGATCCATTGGTGAGCAAGTGATGTAATACTTAATTTCTCCAAATCTGTTCTGATGAAGAAACAAGCTGATGGCCTAAGGTTGAATATATTTTCAGCAAATATATAAGAACTATTCCTTTAACACTAGACCGTCTGCAGTTACATGATGTTTTTTGTGCAGACATTTGGCTGGTCTGGTCATGGGGAGTTTAAAAGGAGAACGCACTAGAGATTTTATTCCTAAACATCAAGCCATAAAATATGGAAAAGTCTGCCAAACCTTGTGCTATTCCTAACTGTGTGTAGCACCTGTCATTCTTAACAATCCCAATGTTAGAAACGAGCAACTCAAGTTATTTTTAACAAAATGCCTGATCATTTCAGTCTGACAACTCATTTATGCGGCATATTTCAGCTCAGACTGTGTTGCAATTTCATATTGTGCATGGCTTTTGGATTTTGGATAAGATGGTTAAAAAATATTTGGACCCCACAACAAAAAGCAAAGTGTTTCTTAAAGGCACAGCAGCAAAAACAGATGAGTCATGGGGCAAAAATGAGTCAAGAGACTTGAGTCTCAATTTGAACTTTTCTTTTCTTGGACTATTCTTGGACAAATTAGATAAGTCTGTAGCTTTACAAAGATTTTTTTTCTTCTCAGATGTTGTGACTTTCTGAAAATAAAGATAATTTCTCTAGCGAAAGAAAAACTTTTTTTTTTTTTTTACAGAAAAATCTTGCCTGAGATTATTTTATAAATGATCCCTTGCTAACTTGTAATGAATATTTTAAAAAGTTGATATTTAGGATAAAATTCCTTTTGCTTCAAGGAAAACTGCACATATATTCTGCTGTTAAGTATAATCAGAGCTGGGTAGATTACTTACTAATTGTAATCCATTACTGATTCCAAATTACGTGACAAAAATTGTAGTTAGTTTCATAAATTTCATAATCCATTACATTACACATTTTAGGCAATATAATCAGACTACTTTTTGATTACTTTTGAACTAACTTGTTTATCACATTGATTTAAATAGGATAATATTGTACCATATTGAATTTAAAAATGCAAAGAAAAAGAAAATATATTCCATTTGTTGTCACTGACAACGTGACGTGCATTAAATATTAATTATATCAAGGTTTCCCAAACTTTAGGAACTGCAGGGGGTTTATGAGTTTACTGAAAAGCAAATTTATTTAAAAGATGAAAAAGAAGATTTAGGGAGAACCAATAAATTATGAATAATTTATTGCTATCGAGTGAATAATATGTAATCATGTAATCAATAATACAGTAACTGTAGTCTGATTCCAAGTATTTAAAAATGCAATTTAATCTAATTACAAGTACTTAATTTTTGGAATTACGTAATACAGATTACATATAATCAGTTACTGCTCTGAGTTTCATCGTATTGATCCTGTGTTGCCATGTCAGGGTGTTTTTTTGATAGCACCACAGACTCCTGAAACAGACTACTGAAAAACATTTTAAAAACATTTTTAACAGGAAAAAAGTGCACTTTAATATGCTTCACCTTTAAGTAACACCCACAAAGATGTGCAATTACATAGATTGACTTATGCAACATTTTAATAAGACTCCATCAGAAGCTCTTGAAGCAGAAACTGAATGGTTGAATTACTATGAGTTTCAAATAAAAAAACGGACTAATGCTCAAAGGCCTCAGTCAGAGTGTACGCGTGTGTGTTTTTGAGTGTATGTTGTGGGTGTTGACACTTTAAAGCGCACAGCGGCAACAAAACCCCTCCCCCTGCATCAGGCTGCATCAGAGAGCTTGTTGCTATGGCGACTGTCTTTGGCAGCTAGCAGTGCTTGTTATAAAACTCATAAGAGTTTCTAATGACCCTGAGAATACGCCAGTCGTCTAGTCAAAATAGCTTCTTATAAGACATGCATCCGTCATTCCAGCCATCTTACAGCTGTGTGTTTCTCTAGAGCAGATTTCTAGAGCAAAAATACTATGTGGTTGCTAGGTAGTTAGTCAAAAGAGCCCACCAACAAGTCCAGTGGTTCTCTTTTTCAGAAAGGTTTGATCAATAGAAAGTTTTAAAAATAACAGCATTTATTTGAAAAATAAATCTTTTGTTAGATTATAAAAGTCTTTACTTTCACTTTTGATCAATTTAATGCATCCTTGTTGATTAAAAGTATTAATTCATTTAAAAATATCTTGACCCCAAAATTTTGAACCGTAATATTGATGGTCATTTTATTGGTGCTTATTTTATAGGAAAGTGGAGCCTTTGAAACACTGAACCAGATGCTTTGTGAAGGATAAAACATGATCTTTTCACAGAATTTACTGATAAACGAGATAATCTGAAAACCACGCCCATCGGGGGAAACAATCCAACCCTCTCCACTGACTTTGTATTGCGGGAAGCTGCCTCCTTGTCATTTCTGACTTATAACAAAAAACAGAACAATCCCTAAAAGCTGCTATGTGACAAGGTGTACAGTAAACAAGCTAAAAAACCCAGAACACATAGCAGCTTTTAGGCATTGCTCTGTTTTTTGTTATAAGTCAGAAATGACAAGGAGGCAGCTTCCCCCAATACAAAGTCAATGGAGAGCGTTGGATTATATTACCATTTTGCCCAAATATTGATGCTTAATATGATTTAAGTCGAATTACAGACTCATTCTATGACGTCCGTTCTATTTTTTCTCCATATCACGGATGTCCATCTTTCTTTATAACCAGTGGATTTATTTAATGCTCCCTACCACATATCATGCCTTTGGCTTTGTTGGTTAAAAGCCATTTACAAGTCCCAGACCACCTCTTTGTATTGAATTTGTTGGCTTTTAAAACCTGCAGTCTTTCATTGCGTCTACTGAATTTGTAGACGGTGAACTGCTCAAGTTCTCTATATTGATTTGGCTGAGCGGCCCCTGCAGCTGCTCCTTTTCTCTCAGCTCCTCTTGGCAGTGATGGAGGCTCTCTCTGATTTCCTGTTGCATAAAGTCCTTCTCTCTCATGTTAACTCTTTCGTTAATGTTGTGTTTCACAGAACGTGTTCACTGAATTAGTATTTGTGGAACACTTTTTCTTGCTCTTTATATTGGTGTCTAATTATTTTTTAGCATATGTACACTATCTGACTAAAATGTACAGTGTTTGACTCATTTTGCACTCATCGATGTATCCACATTTGAAAGTTTATGGTTGGTAATACATTTTCAATGTATTTGAAAGTCTCTTCTGCTCATCAAGGCTGCATTTATTTGACCAAAAATACAGTAAAAACAGTAATATTGTGAAATATTATTACAATTAAAAGTAGCTGTTTTCTACTTTAATATAATTTAAAATGTAATGTATTCCTGTGATGCAAACCTGAATTTTCAGCATCATTACTCCAGTCTTCAGTGTCACATGATCCTTCAGAAATCATTCTAATATACTGATTTGCTGCTCAAGAAACATTTATTATTAGCCATGTTGAAAACAGTTACGTAACATTTTTGTGGAAACCGTGATTCATATTTTTAAGGATTATTTGATGAACAGAACGTTCAAAAGAACAGCATTTCTGTTCAAAAAGGTTACTTTTGATCAATTCAATGCATTTTGCTGAATAAAAGTATTAATTTATTTCAAAGCAAAACATCTAACTGACCCCAAACTTTTGAACAATAAAATGATTTACTTCATCCATTGGTTTTGGGACTACAAGAATCATTTGAGTTTCTTCAACTGAAAAGTGCAGTCGATTTTTAGTTCCCAGCACACTTTGCGTAGGGCTGAATCAGGAGAATAAATGTGCAAATGAAGTGCTTTTTAATGTTTTTGAGTAAACAGAATGACATGTTAATGTTTAGAGCTGCCCCCTAAAAGTCGACTAGAAGAGGCTTGGTCGACCAAAATTTTATTAGTCGCTTAGTCGCAGAAAAAAATAAAATAAAAATAAATAAATAAATTCCACAGGTGAAGTCACGCAGTCCGTGACAGACAGATCGTTAACGGCTGGTCTATGTGGTAATACAGTACATTGGGCAGGACATCCAAACACTAGCCTATCATTCATCGACCTCAAATATGGCTTATCATCTGAAATATGTAAGTATTAGCAACTTTACATGGCCGCTCGATCTAGTGTTAACCTAGATAAATGTGCGCTCTTGTGTCTGTGTGGAGTGTGGAGCTGAACAACTTGAGGATGAGTCAATGATAACCATTTTCATTTTTGGACGAACTATCCCATTAACATGTATGTCGAAAATTAAGATAAATTAATTTCCTTTTTCCTGCAAAAAGTATTTTTTCTTTCTATTCTATCCTATTGTAGATAAAATGCATTATGATCATGTAGTGTCCCCTCAAAAAATTGTTGTTTACCAGTGTTCATTTGTCTTAAAGGGGTCATATGATGCTGCTAAAAAGAACATTATTTTGTGTATTTGATGTAATTAAATGTGTTTATGCGGTTTAAGGTTAAAAAAACATTATTATCCACATACTGTACATTATTTTTTCTCCTCTATGCCGAAAGGAAAAATTGAAATCGCATCATATGACCCCTTTAAATTTTGAAAAAAACATGTTAAACAATTTATTATATTTTTAAGGTCAACATGAAATCAAAATTGATGTGTCTCTAGTCGTATTGTGCTTAATTCAGAGCATCTTCTTGAAAATACAGAAAAAAAATCTTCATAATCTTTCATTAAACTGTACAAATTTGCTTCATCTTTTTCTCTTTTTCAGCCGATGTCACAAATCTCACAGGAAATATCACATTTTGGGAGTAAAATGTGTCACAAGCCTTGTGTTATGTTGATTTTATTGCATCCTGTGTTCACAGCTAAATCATAAATTGCTGTTCCTCTTTCTTGTCTCCTTGCACAGAAACCTGTCCAAGAACCCTCTGACGACACTCTCTTGGCAGCTTTTTCAGCACCTTCAGCTGGTCGAACTGTAAGTTCATCCTGCATTAGTTAATAGTATTTCCAAAAGTGAGATAACTGCATGCATTCAATTGCCAAATCGCAGTATTAAACACACCAAGCAATAATTCCTCAAAACTCTTTCTGTGTAGATTTTCTATGATAAGCAGCACTCGCCTGCTAAATTGGATGCTGAAATCCAGGCTTGATGCTCGATCGCATTGTTGTGTTCATTAGAAATGTTTTCAGCACTTTACTGTCAACTAATTTGTTTATGCGCCCCCTGCTCCCATCCTCCGATAGACTTGTGTGTCTGTCAAAGCAAAACATCTCCGGTGATAAAGCAGAGACACTTTTTTACATGTCTGCGAACAGTCGGTTAATTAAGACATGGCAGTGAAATGTATTGGTCTTGTCTGCTGGGAGCCTGACCTCATTTTCTTGTTTGTCATGAATAGTTGAGCAATATGCATGCACATAAAGTGATGAGTTTGTTTATTGATTGTGAGTGACGATGTGGTGTCTTCATGTTGCGCTTAAAATGACAAAACAATTAAATTCTTTTGAATTTGACACGTCCCGTCCTCGCTCTTCGTTGTGGCTGAACACAACTTGCAGAGCCGCTGACAATATGTCCTGCTTAATTTTTTATTATGCACATTTTTGGCCTTTCAATTCAGAATGTGTTGGGGGATTTCGGGACCGTGTGCATTGCTGTCTTTTCCCATCCTCCCTCCCGTGGATATTGTGGATGATATAAACAACGCATGTCATTTGTCCAAATCTGTCCTCCAGGAAATTAGTTTTACCAGAATCTGATTTGTAAAACTGTTATGGTGAATTAGGCATATTGACCAGGTGGGTGCTTTAGAGATAATTTCAGCACAGTTCAGTGCTAAAATGCAGGATAATCTTGCTAAAATGCAAGATAATTTGGTACTGAATTTAATAAGTGTTCAACTGCACCTCTAAAATGTGCCATTATGAGACAATATAAAAAGATCAACCTGGCTCAAGTACTGTTTTGTGTGATTCTTTGATTTTAGGCCATTACTGGAATAACTCTGTAAGGAATGACTTGTAAATATCAGGAAAATTATAATATTCAGACCTGGGAAAGTTGTAGAAATTAATGAATGTCACAGACATTTTTATAATGAATGTTAAACTGTCTAGTTACTCCTGTTAGTTCGTTTGTTATTGTTTTTAATGAGTGAAATCTACAGTAAATTATGATTAGAAGCTTTATCTAGTAATGATGAATGACTGTGAAGTGAATTTATTGGATAATAAGAAGGTGTGGGAACTTTGCTTAAATTATATCACTGTTGTAGTGCACATTCACTCTTAAAAATAAAGGTGCTTCACGATGCCATAAAATAACCTTTTTTTTGTCTAAATGGCTCTATAAAGAACCTTTAACATCTGAAGAACCTTTCTGTTTCACAAAAGTGTCTTTGTGGCGAAAGAAGGTTCTTCAGATTATAAAAAGGTAAGAAAGAGATGGTTCTTTAAAGAACCTTTGACTGAATGGTTCTTTGTGGAACCAAAAATGGTTCTTCAATGGCATCGCTGTGAAGAACCTTTTAAGCACCTTTATTTTTAAGAGTGTAATACCTTTATTGTAGATGATGATATAAACAACACGTCATTTGTCCAAATTTGTCCTCCGGGAAATTGTTTTACCAAAATCTGATTTGTGTTCACCATTATGGTGAATTAGGCATATTTACAAGGTGGGTGCTTTAGAGATAACTTGAGCAAAGTTTAGTGCTAAACAGGAAGATATTTTAGTACTGAATTTAATAAGTGTTCAATTGCACCTCTATGTGCTATTAGGGCCACTTACAGAAATAACTCATAAGGAAGAATTTATAAGGAATAATTTGTAAATGTCAGGGAAATTATAATTTTCAAACGTAAAAATTAATGAAAGTTCTATATTCAATGTAAATCTTTCTAGTTTTTCCAGTCAGCTCTTTTGTTATAGTTTTTTTGAGTAAAATCCCTAGTAAATTACAGTACGTTAAGAATCTTCACCAATTTTGTAAATGAACAATGTTTATTATTTTCCCAAGTGACCTGGGTCCACCAGATGACACAAACCCTTCATCCAGTGGACTTTTCAACAGCTTCAGGGCTTTTGTGAAAAATGCAGATTTTTGTATCCCCACTCACATAGTCTGATCAAGCCCAATGCATCATGGGTGTTTATACACATTATAAATTTTTTGCCACAGCCCTTTTTCTTTGTTTTGTCTAGTCATGTAGAATCGATTTTAAAAAATAATTTGTGTTTCTACTGCACAGCCAACTTGCAGTGTACATAATACCTTTACATTAAACATTTCCAAACAATGCCAGAACCGACAGCCAGAAAGAGTTTAGAGTTTATAAAATTAAACAGGTCATATACAAATGTTGCTTTTAAGTTTGCAATGTTAAAGGGATAGTAGCAAGACAATAATTATAATTCACCCCAAAATGAAAACTGTCATCATTTACTCACCCCTATGTTGTATTAAAACTGTATGTTTTTTCCTATGTTGTTTGGGCCCCAACGTTCTTCAAAATAGCATCTCTTGTGTCCTGCAGCAGAAAGTAAACAACATGAGCGTGAGTAAATGATGACAGATTTTTGTTTTATTTTTTGGTTGGACTATTTCTTTAAATGTCTAGGAATATGTGCATGATTTGTCAGTTTAAATGATGTTTCAGAGTTCCAATCGTACCAATCGTAATGTTCTTGCTGTCCTGTATTATCTGAAAGTGACTTGGTGATACATTCACCACTGGCATGACGTGTCATCAAAATGATTGATCATACGGTTAAACTGCACTTAAAATGAAAATAAAAGAATGCATTGCAATAAATCCGACAAAGTAATTGTCTTCAAGGACACTTAGTAAACAAACATTTGCAGACATACTTCATCAGCATACGGTCTGAGTGTCTCCTCTGTCTGAATGAGTGAGTACTTCCTTTTTTTCAAAGGAAGTGACATCAAGATGGGCTGGGGGTTACGGCTTATAGCTCAATTTTTCAGCCTGTTGTTTTGACAATATTCAATATGACTCTTGGGTTGAAATTAAAGTTCCTTTTATTGAAAAGAAAAAAGAAAAAAGAAAAACGCATATATGATAGAAAATATTAACTTGCTTGTTTTTTTCACTCACAAGAGCCATCCTTTCAGCAAAACAGTCATTATAGCCAATTAGATTCAAAATGTTTGATGCAAAAAGTAAAAGCGAGACAGATTTTCACTAATGTAGCAAAAAAATAAATATCAAAATGTGTGTGTGTGTGTGTATCATTTTAGATTAAATGGATGTATGGCTGAATGGAGGAAAGTAAAAGCAAAAAGCATAGGAAAGAACAACTGGAAAATCTGCATTTATTTCCACTGAACATAGTTTGTAAACAAACAAATTTGAACTTCACTGAACAAATTGCATGTATTATGGAGATAAATGGTGTAGATTGGTATCAGTTCTGTTGCTGTGGTGCTGTAATAATGGTGTAATCTTCAAAGCTAGATGAGATTCACGGGCATTATTGATTTTCAGACCCAGTGAATCCATCCTAACAGTCATTGTAATATAATATCAGCCTGAGGGTTTGGAAAAAGAATTGAGAATTTAGACTTTATCCGTTAGGACAGCGATTCTCAACTGGTGGGTCACGGGTCTGTTCTGATGGGGTCATGAATAGCAGAAGAAACCATGAAAATACTGAAATGCAGAAAACAAATAATAATAATAATAAATAAACCACAACAACAAATTTTAAATATGTTTTTGTTTACTTTTAAACAATGTTGATATTGTTTTGGGTCTCCAATTGTAAAATCTGGATTCTGAAGCGAAACCAGACCCACTGCTTTAAAGCACCACAAAGTTTTGTTTTATTCTTCAAAAAGACAATGATCCCATTACATTCCGAAGAGTTCTATGCATCTTACAATTTCATTTCTCAATAGCTTTCAGGTGCACACGCACAACTAAACCTCATCAGCGTGCATAATCATGTTATGGGCTGTCAATCACCGTTGATGATAGTCAGGCCCCCCGTTGGCCGCCGCTGGGTTATTCCTGGCAGTGTAAATGATGTCTGAGTTTAAGCTCAAAGCACATGTAATTACATAGAAAACAAAACGCATGTTTTTTTGTTGCTGTTGATAGACTCTCGCGCAACTTCTTAGTTTACTTCATGAACAAACTCTGTCACATTTCTGTCAGAATTACATTCAAATCATTTCAGTGATTCTGCCTGTCAGCTCATTCCATGTGTTACAGAAGCGTTTGTTCTTGCGGGTGACCTGACTCCTGGAGATTTGCAGAAAGGGATTTGCAAAATAATGAAGGGCTCTGAAAACATACAGTAGTGTATTTTCTAACCCGAGCATACAGATTAATGGACTAAAGTTTCACGCTGAGATCAAAGCCTGTGGGTAATGATATACAGTTCATCACGTTGTGAGCGCCTCATCTTTCTTTCCATTCAGCCACTCTGTTTTTCACAAAGTGAAATGTTGTATTGTTCCAGTAATCAATGTCCGCACACCAAGTACAGATAAGTGTTATCACATTCTCATTTGTCAGCATAATATGCAATTCATTGAAGAGTTCATTAGTTTTAGAAAGTATGTTATGTAATTTATATGTATTGTACATATAAATAATATTTCTTATATAATGTAACATTATCCTTGACACAACAGAATGTTTCTATGTAAATCAAATAATGATGCCCCCAGGATTGGAACTATTTACATTTACATTTAGTCATTTTGCAGATGCTTTTATCCAAAGCGACTTACAATTGGGGAATACATAAAGCGATTCTTCTTAAAGAGGCAATTTTCTAAACTATATATTCACTACCAAGTTTGGGGTGGGCAAGATTTAAAAAAAAAAATGTTTTTGAGAGATGTCTGTTATGCTCACCAAGGCTGTATTTACTTGAGTAATATTGTGAATTATTATTAAAATTTAAAATAACAGTTTTCTATTTGAATATAGCTTAAAATGCTATTTATTCCTGTGATGCAAAGCTGAATTTTCAGCATCATTACTCCAGTCTTCAGTGTCACATGATCCTTCAGAAATCATTCTAATATGCTGATTTACTGCTCAAGAAACATTTCTTAATATTATTATTAATGTTTAAAACAACTGTGCTGTTTAATAATTTTGTGGAAACCCTGATACATTTTTCAGGATTCTTTGATGAATAGGAAGTTCAAAAGTAACAGTATTTACTTAAAAAATTATTATTTTTTTGTTTGTAATATTATAAAAGTCAACTGTCTTTTTTGATCAGTTTATAGCATTCTTGCTGGATAGTATTCATTTCTATTAAAAAAAATCTTATTGACACCAAGTGTTTCATCAGTAGTGTGTATACTTTTTTGCATGAAATTGTATTAAATTGTTATTGTATTAAATTTTTAAGTATTTTAAGTGTCTTTGTTTTGCAGTAAAAAACAAGTTTGTACTCCAGAACTACTAGAAGTAGTAGTAGAAGCACAAGTACTAGAATGCAAATGCTCCTAGCTATGCAAGCTCGATTTCACACGTAGTTGCTTTCTGAAATGTTTCTAAACATTATTCATAATTCTGCAAAAGTACGTGTTGTGTTCTGAGGCATTAGTGTAAACTGCCTTCTGTAGGCATTAAAGCAAGCAGCTGTCTGCTGCAGTCACTTCTCTCTTTTTACAATCTTGCAGTTAAGTTCAGCTGTCAACTTGTTATAGCTAGCTATCTGAATAATAAGGCATCTGTTTTAATGTCACAGACACAGAGAGGAACTCTATTACCTACATCAGGACTGAGATTTGTCACGGGACAGTGCGCTTACAATGTGCTGGCCAAGTATATTTACATACTTGCATATGTTTCTGGTCTAAAATAAAGTAAATATCTGGAAGCTATTAAGATGTGCTTTCAGAGAATGTATCTTGAGGTTTTTTTAACATCTTTTTTTGCATAAACATATCATTTATAATCTGATGTTTTAGTAACTGAATCTAGAATTTCGCTGCTGGGAATGGGAATTGTGTGCTTTGTGCACTTGCCAGTTTTACAGCTTTGAAATGCAAATAGCCATGCTTTTTAATGCTGTTTATGTTATGCATCATGCATGTGACGTAAAAAGACGCAGCTGACAAAATGCTCATATGTGCAATGCATGTCATGCAATAGTAAATACAGTCAATTAGCAGATGCTTTTTTTTCAAAACAGGCTACACTTACCAAGCCTTGACACTTACTTTGTTTCCTAGCTGAAAAACTGAAATTTTTAGGAGTGTGTTTTTCCTTAATAAAAGAACATAAGGAGATTTTTACAAGAAAAAAAGATTTAGTTTATTATAATACAATACCTGTATTCCTATAGTTTAAGAATTAAAAAATTTACATTTTTGTAACCAGAATACCGATATTACACCGGAAAACTATTCTCCACAACGCAGAATTTGTAATTATAACCGAGCCTGAAATGCACCAGGACTCTTATTTTGAAATGTCTATGCTTTACTATTTCTGGATGCTCGTTCAAAAACACGAGGGGGATAAAATATACACTCTTATAACAATCTACAACATATTACAATGTAAAAACCATAAACTAAACACTGTCGCAATTCATCATGTGTTAAATGTGCATAAATGCACGGTATTCACTGATTGCGAGCTGCTCTGAAACCGCGAGCCTGTAGAATGCGCAACAGCACCATGTTTTGGCTTTGAACATGTAGCACTTATTTATTTTATGAATTGTAGCCTTTTGAAGTTTAATAATCACATTAGGCTGTATTGTGATGTTCCGTCAACAAATTTAAGACCTTTAAAAATGATAATTAGGATTTACCGTATGTTATATTATTTATAAGATCTTTGTGTTTTTTAAATAACTGCAGGGACTTGTTTTATTCGCACAGATGCTCCTACAGTAAATACATTTTATAGTTCTCACACCTCTATTTTTAGTGGCAAATGTGAGTGAAATGCTCCCGCCGTTGAGCCCTGCTGCCTGTGGTTATGAGACTTACTCAAGGGCATGATGGTGATTGCTTATGGATCTCCCCATGTGGGAAACCTACAAGCTTTCAGTAATCAGCCCGGGTCACTGTGCCACACCACCCGGGAGACATAGTGTCACAAACCTGCTGCTTTCAACCAACGCAGGCAAAGTTTGATTGATTTTGCATGGCCAGCTCAGAGTTAACACTGCATGAAAATGCTAGAGTTTGGAGATTGTATAACTGTTTGCTGTGTGTTGTTGACGCAGGAGGCTGGAGGGGGTCGTCTTTGACTGCGGCTGTGAGATCCGATGGATTCAGCTCTGGCAGCTGCAAGGTGAGGCCGGCCTGCACACCCAGCACCTCTACTGCAAGAACGGCGCAAGCAAGATTCGTCTGAGATCAATGAGCATTGCCCAGTGTGGTAAGACATCTTTCTTCATATATAATACAGCTGTAGGCCAAGCACGCACTACGTGTTGTTATATAAGATTAGATTATTCGTATGATGCAATATTTATCTCACATTATGATGCAGTATTGGGGAGTGAGGTAAGATCTGTCAGTTGTATTGCTCTCTTAATGAAGGAAATCATGCAACCATTTTTTTATTTTTTCTTATACTTTCTTTCTTTTCTTTTTTCTTTTTTTTTTGGTCATGCTACCAAAAAACATACAAATGACAACTGCACATGTTATGCTAAAAAAATGCAAACAATAATAATAATAATAAATTAATAATGTATCCATTATCCATGTCTAAAAATCTAAATCATACATGTTGGTAAATTGCCAGTTTTAGGGTTAAGGTTTGCCCCAAATTATTGCAATTAAGTCATGTATATGTGGCCATATTTTATAGATCAGTGTCATTTTGGTATTATTTATAAAGCATTACAGTATTTATTGATATTTTACATTAAATTAAAATGAAAACAGATATAACAATATCAGTTTCAGTAATTAAATGCTTTTGTCATTTATATAATTCATTTATTGTATATATTTCTTTTAAATTATTTTTTAATTTTTTTATTTTAGTACTTCAATTTAAATGTATTTATTTCAGTTAGCTGCAAAGGTAAGGGTTACATGTTTTTTTTTATTTTTTAAAGCTTTATTTCAGTTAACAAAAAACATTTTTAATGGTTTGGTTGTGTAGTTACAACACTGATATAGTTATATATCATACTATATAGTGATATAGTTAAAAACAGCACTTTATAATGTGTATATATACTGTAATAGTACATCGAAAATGATTGACATTTTTATTACAACTAATGACCATGCTAGCCATACTTTACACCAACTGTTATGGTATGAGCAAACAAAAAGACTGAAATACTCAAAATTCAGAAGGTTTACATCATATAGCATTCCAATTAATTAATTATGGGCTTATGGGCTTACAGTGGTAAAAAATCTCTGTTTTAGGAAGTATTTTGGCAGAAACTGTGGTTACTATGGTAAATTCTTGTAAACAAATTCTTGTAACAGCCCAGGGAGCGGCTAATTATCATCAGATCGCATAAATCAGTGGAAAATTAATAGAAATGATGATTCTGTCAGAAGAAATATGAAGTAAACATGAGTAAATATATCTATATATCTCCGTGTATATGCATATTTGGACTATAAGCCCTTATTTTCGCTGTTCAGTGAAGCTATGTGAACACAAATAAACCGCTGCAGACGTGACTGAATATGAATGAGTGGTGAATTTCTATTCTAAAAATGACACATACAGATTTATTATTTTGCACTCCTGACATAAATTACTAAATTACTGTCACTGCAACAATGTTTTATCAAAACAGTGGTCAAATATCGAAGCTATAGTCTTTAATCTTTCTACTGATGCACAGTTTGTCCAGATCCAGTAAGAGTGTGATGTTTTAACGTGCTGTTAAAGTGAAACAACAATAATCTGGGGCCGTCGCCTCTCTTTGACAGCTAAGGGGTTAAGTAATGTACATAATAGTCATTGTTGTGATCTAGACCTGCCAGATATCAGCGTTGCTCACAGTAACCTGACTGTGCTGGAGGGTGGTAACGTGATGCTCAGCTGTAACGGCTCTGGGTTTCCGGTACCTGAGGTGGACTGGACTGTGAACGGCCTTCACTCCATCAACACGCACCAGGTGAACGCCATTCATCCCACACCAAACACACCGTTTAACCTTCTTTTCAGTCTAACCATAGCATAATGTTTCTGGCCTGCCCTCCAGTCAAATGTCTACTGGCCCAACATCCACTCCATCAACCTGACGCTGGTCAACGTGAGCAGAGACGACAATGGGTTTGTTCTGACCTGCATCTCTGAGAATGTGGTCGGGATGACCAACGTGTCTCTTCAGCTGGCTGTGCTATGTACGTATATAGTGCTTATTACAGGTTGTCATGTCTCATACTTAATGGTGTTTGCTATTGCTCATACTGCAATGATACATCAAATGATGTGGCTTGGTGAGAAAAGGTATGCTAGTACTTTTAGCAATCAGAAGCCAGATCATTCTTCCTTTTTTTAAGATTTTACAGGCTAATTTTTGAATACCTAAGAGGAATTTGAATTCTTAAAAAGAATATTCTTAAAAATAGCTTCACACTTGTCTTAAATCCCCAAAGGTAAAATGTTTAATGAATTTATTATAAGTTTTTTTAATTTTAAGCATTACAACATAACACTAGCTACATGTAATATATATTACTATTATTACGGATGTGCACAAGTAAACTAAAGTGACAACAATGATCAGTAATTTACTGTAAATATTGATTGGTCATGATTATGTCTGATGCGATTTTCTTTTTTTTTCGGATTCTGAAATTCAGTAACTCTGATTCCAATATAGGGACCTAGTTTTTAATTTGATAAAAATTAAATAACATAATTAAAATAATACACAACTCATTAAAAAAAAATCACAGTTACAAAAAGAAAAGTCTGTCATTTTCTTTTTAACATTACCTTTAACATTTGCTGCAGAACGTGTAACACTTTCAGCTTTAAGAAACACACTGAAGCTTTTCATTTAACCACTGCAAAATAAGTTGAATGTACTTTAATTTTTATGGTATTTAATCTGCATCCTGTAATTGCTGCAGGTGTGCTAAGAATGGCTTAATTTTACAGACAAAATGAGGTCAAGATATCAGCAGTGTTTTCTGAATCTGCAGCGGCACTGCAAAAATATTATATATTTTTGCCTAGTTAAGAGCTTGTGAACTGTATGCAAAGAGAGTATGTGTGCTTCAAATATATAGATAAACATGACTGTTGTGTAGCCCTGGCTGACTACACATGCAACATAATACAGTGCAAAGTGCTGTGCAGTTGTCAATGAATCACTCAATTGATTCGTTTTAATAAATCACTCCATCTGACTGGCAAATCAGACTGAATCAAACAATACTAATTTTTAAGGTTTATGAAACTTAAATCAAACTAGTATTTGGTATGATAATGTATTTTACTTTCAGTTTTAGGGTTTTGGTGTATTAAAAGTAAAAGTCTGTAAAAAACAAACAAACGGTGAATAATTGTTATTCATGCCATTTTATTTAACATAGTCTGTGAATCCTTATTCAGATGTCACCTTAAAAATACATTTACTGATGTTGCAAATTTTAACACATAACACCTTACTCTCTTATGAAGAAATAACTGTATGGACACGTTTAAAATAGAACAAGGTACTAAATTAATTGATACAGCAATTAACAGCTCTGAACCTGTAAGTCTTTGTGTTAATTTAATCGGAGGGTGCGCGTGTGTTTAGGGAAGGCGTTAGGTTGTGATGCATACATAAAAATAGACCTGCACTGCACCGTGTTAAACTGGGTTAAACAGCTATAAGATGAGAATTAGCCAGAGGCAGGATTGAATCCGAAACATCTCTGCAACTTTTCTACGTTTTAATAGGAAGGAATGGAGCACTTTTGATGGCATTAATGTTTTAGGACTCAGATATGATCTGACACTCAGGCATCATTATGCTCATTAAACAGCACATGATTTTAAGACAGTGTGTAGATGAAAAGCATTACATTTTATCACTCTGCTGACTAATGACTTTGACGTTAAATTGAAATGACATTGGCAGGACATACAGGCGCCGAGTGGAAAAACTGTCAAGTTTGGTTTTGATAACCAAGTACATGGTCTTGTCTTTATTAAGTAAGAGTGAGTACTGATTTCTGATGGCTTATAAAACCTTTATAGCTAATTATATTATATTTAGGTTTTTATCCTGTTAATATTTGGTGTTCAATCAAGTAAATATTGTATATTATATTATTATATATTGTATATCATTTGTGTGCATATATATATATATATATATATATGTGTGTGTGTGTGTGTGTGTCTGTATGTCCGTATGAAAAATTAAATTTAGAAAATGAATAATAAATAAATTAATGAATTTTCAATTTGAATTAATTTAAATATTTTATCTGAATTATTTTTATTTTATTTTAAATAAAATATAAAATAAATATTACATTTCTGTATATAAATGTATTTTACATTTATTTTATATATTAAAATGTGTGTATGAAATATGAATGAATAAAATAAAATAATTTAATTTAATGAAGTGAAAATTAATATTTGACAAATGAATGAAATTATATTTAATATATAAAATAAAAATATATAAATATACATATAGTTAAAAATATACATACAAAAATACACAGTACACACACATTTATTATGTAAACACAAACTTTTATTTTGGATGTGATTAATCGCAATTCCATTAAATATTTTATTTAATTTTTTTATGGTAGCCACTGTAGACCAGTTCTTGACTATAATGTCAGAACAGACAAATGTGCTTTCTTACCTGACAGCATGGACAATCAGTCCTAAAGATCGGATTTGAGAAACATCATCACAACTGGGTGCAGAGTCAACAAAGCCAAAAGGTTTGGCCCTGTTCCACTGAGCTGCATTAATAATGCTAATGAAATGTGCACCAGTTGGATTTTAGCATTCCGATCAAAAGCTCCGAAATATGAGAGGCACATATGGGATGCACATCCCTCCCGTTCACTTTCTCTCTCCTGGTGGGATTGCAGCAGGACTCTCTAAATGACAGGCCTCATGCAGTAGTGAGAGCAGACAGGCCGAGAGCAAGGGTGCTGCTGCATGCTGATTCTAAAACACATGTCATCTGTTTAGGCGGGATGTGTGCCGAGCCGCTCTACGGGAGGGATATATCTCTCGTCTAGTCTCATCAGTCAGCCAAGCACAAATCACTTCGCCGAGAGAAGGCAGCTGACAATAATGATGCCTTCTCATTTGAATGACAGTGTCGGACAAGATGTTTGCATGCAGTTTACCTTTGAGTAGTGTACAATAATATACAGTCTGTGACAGCAAGATTACGAGCTGTCCTTCCGTCAATTTCTGCTCTGTCCGTTTTCCTTCAGAGACCCAATTTATGACCATAATGTGCAGGGTTTGAAATGAACACCCGCCAACCCGCCAAATGCGGGTAAAAATCAGCTGTGGCGGGTAACGCTGTCAAATCACTAGCCAGTTTGGCGGGTTACTTTTCGTAAGTTATGTTCACTCGTTAATTTCTTTGGGAAGTTCATGCAAGCCAAATCTGCGCAGGTTTAGCGCATTTATGCATTTGTAACTGCAGGTTAAAGCATCCCATGTCCCTCTAAGCTGCATTAACATGTGTAAATACATCTAAATGCCACTTCATATTCAACTTCTGCAAAGATACATTTTATTGATCCTGATTTCATTTGTTTAGTAACAGCCTAAATGCAGTATTGTTATAATTGCCTGGTTAAATGTAAGAATTTGACTCAAAAGATGATGCACACTTTTAGTAAAAATGGATTTATAAAGGTAAAAATGCCAATAAAAGGTAAAAATCAATCTAAACTTATTGGAAGATATTAATTTCTATCACTGCTACTTTGTCATGTAGACAGCCTCAAGCTGTTGGTTTATTTCAGTAAACCAAAGTTAATTTCAGTAAAAAAGTTAATTTCAATCCCTGATAATGTGTATATTAACACAACAGTGGGCCTTCTTTTGACTTGACAATAACTCCATTGTTAAGAAATCTTTGCATTTCACAAAAAGTGAGTCTTTGAGCCTTTAACTTACATTAAAGAAATTAAAATTGATCATCATTTACTCACTCTTCTTGTCGTCTGTCGCCGTTGTCAGTCTCATGTTGCGTGTTCTTTTCTTTTATCTGTGAAACATAAAATGAGATGTTAGCCTGAATGCCTGAGATCCGGTTTTCCATACAAGGAAAGGGAAAAGAGATTTGTATTTCCAAGCACATTTAGGCACCAAATTCTGATCTGTTTAAATCTGACATTTAGGACTATATGTACACATTGTAATTTCGCAGGTAATGAAATTAGAACCGTTTGCTGCCATAGTGTTGATTCCAGATACATAAGAGTCGTTGTGGAAAGAGAACAGAAATCTGGAAATTTGGCCTCTGCTCATGCTCAAATTATATATTTGTACTATTTCTTTATATTTTATTTGATTATTATTCAAACAATAAACTAGGTTTTACCCGTTTGTCAGCAAGAATATTTTAATCATTTAGAATATTTTAACATTTAGTATTATCTCATGTTGTGTGCATATATATCTGTTACAATGAATGATGATGGAACATTATCTCGCTCATATTTTGACATTTTATTTTCACAGAAGCATTTTAAATGCAATTGTCTGTGAAACCATGTATATAAAATCTATTTAATTTGATGCAGACACCAAGATGTGATGTCTCGTCTTTTACACACACAATAGAAATATATTTATATATATATATTTGTACGTTACACATTCAACAGTTTAGGTTTGGTAAGATTCGATAAATGGCAAAAAAAACTAAATTAATTACGTGTATTTCATGGTAGATTGGATGCCTTGTTTGTAGTGTTCTTCCCATTGCCTAACAGCTTACCATGGTAAATCTGTGTACTTCACTGATGAAAATTTGCTGTCAGCCATTCTGCCCTGTATCTCTTACATAAAAGCCTCCGTCTTCCTATAAACCCTCGGTTTTTCTTTCCTCCTAACAGTTCCGCCAGTAATCCTGAAGCTGGACGAGCCGGAGCGGCGGCATCACACCTGCATTGAGTTCACTGTGAGGGGCTTTCCCCATCCCACACTGCGCTGGTTCCACAAGGGCCGCGCGATCCTGCAGAGCGAGTATATCCGCATAGAGATGGAGTACTACCAAGATTACTTGGAAGGCTGCTTGACTTTTCAGAACCCAACACATTACGACAATGGAAACTACACCCTAGTAGCCTCTAACTCTCTCGGGTCAGTCACCAAAACCGTATATGGCTATTTCCTTGAGCCACCGTTCATTGAGGATGATGGTAAGTTATTTAACGGCTTATTTACTCTTGTAGCATGTGGTATGACTTTATTGATATTTATTGGGATGACTCTAAAATGTTATATATATATATACCTTGATGTGTGTGTCTGGTTATATATACAAAACAAATATATATGATGCTATATTATATATGAAGTTTGAGGTCGGTACGATTATTTTAATTAGTTCTTGAAAGAAGCCTCTTATACACACCAAGACTGCATTTATTTGTTTAAAAATACAGTAAAAACCATAATATTGTGAAATATTTTTATAATTTAAATTAACTCTTTTCTATTTCAATATATTTTAAAATGTAATTTATTCCTGTGATGCAAAGCTGAATTTTCAGCATCATTACTCCAGTCTTCAGTGTCACATTATCCTTCAGAAATCAGTATAATATGCTGATCTGCTGCTCCAGAAACATTTCTTAATATCATTGTTACAGTTGTGCTGCTTAATATTCTGTGGAAATCACGGTACATTTTGTTTTTCAGAATTCTTTGATGAATACAAAAGCATTTATTTGAAATTTAAATAAATAATGAATGCGTCCTTGCTGAATAAAAGTATTCATTGTCAAAAACAAAAAGTCTTACTGACCTCAAACCTTTTTTGAACAGTATATCTTTTACACATTTTTATGCTTAAAAATGTTTTCCATTTTTAATCTTATATAATTTTCTCTTTTTCCTCTTACGCTGCTCTTTTAGGAATAATTGAGTACAGTAAGTGCCTCTCAATTTTTGACCAAAAAAAAAATACAGATAGATGAAACACATACATGTGCTCGTTCTGCTTGTTGAAATTAAAACAACTATTTTGCTTAAAATAGACTATAATCTATGATAAGTTCAACATTGAAGAATTTGATAAAACAATATAATCTTTCATGCAGTATCTCTTAATAATAGCTCCTCTCAAGTGCACCAAGAACACAAACAAACTTTTAGATACATACTTGTATCTGTAAAAGAGGACACTCCTAATGACTCTGTACAGAGGTAGATTGAAGAATAGCCCTTATGAATTGCAGCATGTTTTTGGCATGTATACAAGCTCTATGCATTAAGAGATTCAGGATGGTGTAATTGTTTTCGTGTCCAGCGGAGGACGGCTCATGCTTTGGGTGCGTGATGCAGCAATATGTGAGCCCTGCTGCACCTCTGCCATTATGACTCAGTTAAATGGCAACTCCTCTCTGATACCTGTGAACAAGCCACACACAGGTTCAGACAAAAGCCTCCCCAACTAAAACAGTTGCTCAACAACTGTGGCTCTCAGGCAGCATCATAAATGTACAAGTCATGAAGTGAAACTGAAAATAGACATATCTAGTAAGGAACAGAAAGAATTCAATACATAGGGCGGAGCTGAGCTAGTTCTCATGGGGAAAGTTGTCACAGGGCTCAATAGTTAAGTCAAAATAAGATCTATTTCTTTAAATTCTGATATTATGAAATTTGGCATCACACTAGCATATAGGACTAGAGTATTTTTATATGCAGTACATACACTTTTCATGTTCGGGCTGGTTGTCTTAATTTTGTTGTTGGTTAGTGGTTGTCACATGATTTGATATGTTGTTATTTTATACAATTTATTACTTCTAATATCTATTGGGGGGAAACAATGGTTTATTTTTTATTACCTTATTTATTTGTTTGTTTGCTAGATTTTTTCCCTCTGAGAAATAAAGGTGAAAATGTTGTTTAGCTTTGTTGTAGCCAAGGATGAACATTAAGAAGTAAATATTAAAAGAAGTAAAAAAAAAAGTGTGACAACTAGAGTTTAGCATTATTTATAGTATTTATCATATATACTTTTATATTTTATTTTATGTTTTAGAGATTTTGTTATGTGCTGTTTAGTACTAAAACTTTTTCAGTTGGTTGCCAATGCAACATTTCTAATTTTTTCTAAGTTTTTAATTTAGTATTTATAATTTAATATTTATATTTCAGCAGTATTGCAATTAACAAAAATATTTTTATTAGTTTTAGTTATCAGCAACAACACTCATCATTTGGCCTCCTTTAATTGAGCAACGTCTTTTCTATTTCCTGTAGCTCCAACACCTGAAGATGAGGCGAAGAGTCCTGAAGAAGATTCATTCAGAGTAAGATGTTCTTTCTGTCTAAAAAAATCAAAAGGCTGAAGTTCTTCTTTAAATTCAATTGACTGCTTTATTGCTTTTTTCCTGCAGATGTCGATTGCTGTTGGTCTGGCTGGCTTTGGCTGCGTCTTCCTCATTGTGATTTTCGTCCTCATCAACAAATACAGCAGACGCAACAAATTTGGGATAAAAGGTATGACTAGAGTATTTTGCTGCATTTTCTTAATGTCGAAATGAAGGCAACTTCTTGCTCCATATTTTCAGAGAAGTCAATGGATATCTGGCTGGATGGGAATTGATTGATTTGTGGAAAATGGTCTCTTTACGACAGGAGTACTGTAAATACATTTTGATAAAAGACAACAAACATTTGTGTCTTAATGTGTATTTAAGTAAAAAGGGTCCAATTTTGATCTCATGTTAACGTTAGATATTTTCTTCCCAGTGAAAAAAGCAAAACTACCTTAATTCTCTTCATCCTTTCTTGAAGCAACACAATAGATTTCCTCAGTCTTTCAGCTGTCAATCATCTCGCGGGACTCTGTAACATTCTCCACTTTGGTTTTAGGCGATGTTTAGAGCCTGCTTTTAAACAGTGGTCTGGCACATCATGAGTCAGATAGGGTTTGGTTTGTGCTGTGTGGGTTTGTGTGAATAGAATTTGAGTTGAATGCATCCTCCAGTCTCAGACCTTGGGGAGGCAGTTGGCGGAAATGCCTGCGAGTCTTTCTTTGGTTAGCCTGACTTCCTCTGCTAATATTAAGGTTTATATCACTGTGGAGCTAGTGCTTTCAGAAATACAGTTTTATATTCAAACCTACATTTGTAGTAGAGGTGGGCAGTACCACAAAAAACATATGACGATATGAGTAATTCTAGATCACGGCAACTGTGTATATATATATATATATATCACATAATAGTTATTTTTGCTGAGATACAATGCATGAGATTGTTTCGATTTAAATGACCATGAGTTCATACCTACTGTATTTTTGGATAGTCCAGTGATTAAATACCAAATGAAAGGTACTTTTCTTTTTAACTCAAGTGTTACATAATGTAAAGCTGGTGTTGCATTGATGCCAATGGTATTATTTATATTAATAATCACACCATTGACCATATAACATATTAAAGTTATAAATATTATCACCCACAGTTCACCCATTTACTCACCTTTAGGTCATTTCAAACCTGTAGGCAATTTTTTGATGGATTATTTTAGGGGATGGGCATTTTCCAAAAATTTTGCATTCGAATATTTGGGCTCATAAAAAAACGAATATTCGTGTATTTAAATGAGGTTTAATGAGAAATACGTTATTTTTAATTATCAAGTTTTTGTCACAATTTCTGAACAAGCGTATGATTAGCCGTTACACAGCAATGTTCTACAACAACGTTACGTTATATCACAAGGTTTTATTTTGGTTGAAAACGTGTAAACAACAAAAAAAAAAAAAACATAAAAAAAGATTCATTCAAGATCAAGCAGAGCAAATGGAAGAATTACAGTTAAATTACAGTACAGAACGTAGGCTACATATACTCGAGTCGGCCTATATTTATTGTGTTTACATTGTTTCACGTATTAATTCTGAGAGAAACAATAATATCCACATGCTCGGGTGAAAGTTTGTTCCTCAGTCTGATAACAATAAGAACGCGCTGACAAAGATAACGTGTGCTAACAGTTTCTTAGCGCTTTGTGTTAAACCACTCTCCCTCGAGAAACCTTTATATATGTCTCAAGATCATTTGGCTATCAGATGCGCTCTCTTCTCAGCTCAATCGAAGTAGCTACAGCTGCGCTTACCTGCAGTCGTGAATGCAGTGATGGACAGCTGTCTTTCCTCAGTCGACTGTGTTTGGATTTCATGTGATTTCTCATTGTGGTGGTGATATTATGATAAATCAGTTTCACTCATTCATTTGATCAGAAGTAATTACATCTTGTCAGATCATTTAGTAAGATCATTTAGATCAAAGTAAATCCAAACTTCGCGAGGCAGATGACGACATTCTGTGATCAAATACTTTCAACTTGTTAACACGCTCCACAGCGCCACCCAGTGCATTTAGGTATAACTGCTTAGGATTTATCATGGATTCCCTGCATTTACGGCCAGCAAATCAACACATAGTAAAATTCGAATAGTGATTTTATTACTCGAATAATAATTTCAGACCGAATATTCGAATGTTCGACGATTCGTGCACACCCCTAGATTCTTTATGTATTTGGCATCAGTGCAAAGCCAGTTTTGGAACCATAGAGTTAAAAACAAAAAACAGTCAAAGCAATATTATAAAGTATAGTTCGAACTCTAAATTCTGATTGGATGAGCCATATTCAAAGTTACTGTAAAGAGCTGATACAATATGATTTTTTAAATATTTTGAAAGAATTTCTAATGGTGGCTGTATTTATTTGATCAAAAATACAGTAAATCTGTAATATTGTGATATATTACTACAATTTTAAATTACTGTTTTTTATTTTAATATATTTTGTATATTAAGATTAGATGTAGTGTATTCCTGTCATGCAAAGTTGAATTTTCAGCATCATTACTCCAGTCTTCAGTGTCACACGATCCTTCAGAAATCATTCTAATATGTTGATTTGCTGTTAAAGAAACATTTATTATAATAAACTCCACCTCATATTTCAGTCCATCATAAGTTCTTCCTAGTTATGTTCTTCCTTTCTGTCATTGCATGATGTGTGGGGATGAGCAATGATAATTGTAAAATTTTAAATATCAAATTTTACAATTTCAAGTAATATATGTAATAATTTTAAACACTAAAACAATAATGGTAAACGCAAAATGGTTAAATAAAAATGACTATGTAATTTCTGGTTTGAATTGTAATTTCATTTATAATAAATTTAATTGTACATTATTTGATCCTAGACATTGCATTTTTATGAATTGTTTCTATTAACCTTTGTGTGCTTCTAGTTATAAATTTAATTAACATTGGAAATTATTGCTGAAAGGTCCAAACTGTTTGAAATTTCCACATTTCTAAATTTCAAAGCTAAACATTTGACAAAAACTCAAAATAAAAAGTGTTTCTACTCCATCACAGTTATTCACCTGAGACTGCCATCTTATTCCAGTATTGCCCTCATTTCACTCAGTCTTTGAATAATGACTGTGTGTCCGAGGCAATATGTCAAAGATGAAACAAATTAGAGAAAATTATCTTTTGTTTCCCATCCCCATTGCAGACATCACATCCATCTTTGCTTTTCAAAAACTGCTCCTAAACCAACATAAACACATTGAGTTTATGCATAACCCCCTTGACTCAACAACCCTTGCTCTTTTCTCATATACAGTGGGTACGGAAAGTATTCAGACCCCCTTAATATGGGGTGCTGTGTGTACATTAATGAGGAAAAAAAATTAACTTAAATGATTTTAGCAAATGGCTGCAATATAACACAGAGTGAAAAACTGAAGGGGGTCTGAATACTTTCCGTACCCACTGTATGTGTCATAAGATGAAAACACTCTCTCACTTTGTTGTGACAGTCCTGTGAGAGACAGGAAATATGGGCTCCGTTCACTCCGAGAGGAACGGCTAATTATGTCTCACGATCACCGGCAAGGTTGAAGAGGCATAAAAGGATTGACACTCAAAGCGTGACGTCAATACGAACCCTTTTCAGCACGCTGGCCTTCCCACAATACACCACTTGTACTGTTTTTCTCTTCAAATCAGCTGGAGGTCTTATGCAGCCATTACCTCAGATTGAGCTGTATTGGATTTTTGCCTCGCTCAATCATTCGGGAGCCTTTTTTTGCCGTTGGATCACAGACTATTTTAGGGCAGGCAGTAAAATCTGATTTTGTGTGCGAGTGTGTGTTTCTCGTTTTCTGTGTTTGGACCTTTAGTTTGCTATTAAATCATCAAATCATGAACAGAGGTTGTGCCGCACATCCTCTGACTGATTTTACTTGCCTTTCAAGTCGTTCAGGGCATTGCTGCTAATGGTAAAGCTTCATAATCTGCCTCAGTCTTCATTTTGGTGTTTGGTTGTAATTGTGGGTAAAAAAATCAAAAGAGAGAAGCATTGTTATGCATAGACTATCTTTTGCTGCAATTGTAATGATACATTTTAACAAATTTTGGCCCTACTGTACTTAGTAGTGCTCAAAAATCAACAGTTTTTTGCTTAATTTCCCCTTTTCTTATAAGATACTAATTGACAATCTTTGTGTTAGTCAAACTACAGCGATAAAAAACACATATTATTGCCGATAACTGACACTTGTATAAAGCAACTACTGTTCAAATAAGGCCTAAATGCCTAATTATTTTTAGTGCAAGGGGCGGCTTGATCATATCCTGTCTCATCTTTTATGTAAATGTGCATAAATTCGAAAATGGAGCTTTTGGTTTTGGCTTGCATCATTTCCTGATTCTGTGGAGTGAAACTACTTTTAATCAGTTCCTGTCCACTATCAATCAAAATGCCAATATGAAAACAGATAATTGATTTGCATTACCAAGAAGAAAATACACAGGAAATGTTGATTTCAAGCATTTCTCTTTGCAACATTTCCGCTGGGGATATTTAAGAAGTTTTATTAAATTCAGTTCCATATAATGCATTCATTTCCTGTCAGGAGAGGATGTTTTAAGAGAGCCTCAGGCTTGTGTCTTATCCTATGGTCATTATTTTATCTGAATTATAATCAGACATTTTGACCAGCCTCAAATCTGTAATATAATCAGTTTGCTTCATCCCTGCATGATGTAAAAGGGATATTACAGATATATTGGGTCTCATGCATGCATATGGTGTACTGTATACAACCAGTGTGCTGTTTTTTTGTTTGTTTTTTTCTTCAAAATTCTTGATATACATCAAATTTAAATGTTATTTTTTCCTCAAAAAATATGATTTATTTTTGGTATATTTATTAAAAATGAATATTAAAATTGTATGTATATTTAATTTTAGATTATTTTTAGAAATTGAACAACAAAAATACCCCACAAATCTTTTCATAAATTATTTATATGAAAATATAAAGCCATATTTCATTACAAAAACAACATAAAAGCTTGCTTTGTGCATACAATTTCTTCATGTATTCTAAAGTTTTTATAGAGTGTAAGGGTACATTTGCAGACTGTGAGGTTGCGCTCATATGTAGATGTTTCAGTCGGGTATTATGATAATTACTAACTGCGGGTATGCGCTACTGCATTTGGAATAATCCGGATTCATCAGGATATGATGTTGTGCTCTAGGGCTTCTGTTTTTAATAAATAATACATCCCCAAAAAAACTAATAATAATACATTTAACAGTTAAAATATACTATCTGTGTCACTTTCCTGGAACACTGCAGTGCAAACCAAGAAGCTTTGAAGTTTGTATTCACTTTATTGAGCCAAGAGCTCAGACTGTGATGTTTACATCCTGAATTGGTTAAATATATTTTCATTATGTGAATGTGCAGGTCAGAGTTCAACAAACCTGAATGTCGGTGCAGTATGTAGCAAAAGACAAAATGTATGCATGTGTTTGAATGGAAGTGCAATGTAATTATTTGAGGACACACCTGTTGTGAATCTGGCAGAAATGTTGAGTGAGAATATTTTCTCTGGACCATTCAAATACAATAACAACAGTAATTCAGTAATTAAGAAATATTATTACTATTCTAAGTAACTGTTTTCTATCTGAATATATTTTAAAATGTAATTTATTCCTGTGATGCAAAGCTGAATTTTCAGCATCATTACCCCAGCCTACCCCAGTGTCACATGATCCTTCAGAAATCATTCTATTATGAATGACACTTGAAGACAAGGCTGCAACTTTATCATCGCAAACCCTACAGTGACTCTGAACATGTTGTCAATTTTACTTCCAGCCAGCTTGAGTCTGCATGCTTGACAGATAAATTTAGCATTTTGTACCTGAAAAAGCAGAACAATAACCATGCATGAGCTTTAGGGCTTCCGCACAACAGAAAAACATCTTAATTTTACATAATTTTTGATAAGATGTACTGTAAGTACTCATTCTTAAATGCGCTCGTTCTTATATGCTGACTTGCTGCTTAAGAAACACTTATTATTATCAATGTTGAAAACAGCTGTGCTGCTCAATATTTTTGTGAAAACAATTTTTAAGATTTGATAGAAAGTTTAAAAGAACAGAATTCATTTCACATAAAAATCTTTTGTAACATAATAAAAAATCTTTACTGTCACTTTTAAACAGCTGAACACATCCTTTCTGAACACATGTATTATTTTCTTTAAAAATAAAAAAAATAAGAAAAAACAATTAATACCCCCAAACTTTTTAACGATAGTGCACATTATATAGCTTGGCCACATCTTAATGTCACACCAGACATCTGAAATGGCACGAGATCTGCTTTTTGCCAAATATTAGGGAGGAAGTCTCCCTATGAGTTATGACTCATGATGGTAACATCACTAACTGCATGTGACGGGGTTTATTTTAGCTTCACCGCAAAAACCCTCCCCTTTGCCTCCCTCCACGCACTTTGCCCTGATAGCTCACCTGCCTATTAAGATCCTATCATCGCTGTCACAAGGGCTTAAACCTTCCTCGGCTACATTACTGCAATAAGCCAAGGGCTGTTTAGCACACATCATCAAACCCAAAGATTTCACGCCTGACTGACTCACCTTGCCCCAGCCAATGAAGCAGTCAATGGAGCCACACATAGAACAACAGCTCACATGTGAAGACACCCGCCAACATACCTGCATCAACCCTGACACGCAGTACAAAGACACACTGAAGCTGTCGCCGATATGGAACAATGACCGTTTTCTGACGTCAAAATCACAGCAAGGAATGGCTGTCTTTTTCCTCCTCCTCCAAAGTGGAACAGGGTCATTCAGCTCTATTTTTCAATATTTTTCAAAAGCACTTCACTCCATTATGATTGGGGTTTAAAAGGATACTTTCCCCATTGAATTAATGCACTGTGCGGTTTCAACCATATTCCTGCCCTACCAGCGACCGAACGAGTGTCTGTAATCACATAATTTTGGTAATAAAAATGAACATATACCCCTCTTGAGATAGAAAACACCTCTGTTTCAAAAAAAATCC